TAAGACTAACAATTATCCTACAATTTTTCGAGATTAATAACTTTTTTTGCTAAGTCAAGTTTATTAACTTCGCATTAGTTCTCATCCAAGATTGTATGGCAATGACAATGTAATGGATGATTTTGTGTTAGTACACATACAACCATGGGAACTTATTGATAAGAGGGGAATGAAAAATTGGAGAAAACGACCACTGATGAGGGAAATTAAGAACCAAAAAGCTGAAAGGAAGGAGAACTTAGAACTTGAATAGTTAAAATTTCAACATCAGTTTCTAATACCTAGGCATAGCAATGTTATATCAAATCTTATTCTTAGCGGAGCTTGTTCTGAACACGAGGAAAGAATCCCAGAAAACGATAGTTTAAAATCTCTGGTATGATCATAATGATAATTCCCCTACATATTCTCTGCTTATCCTGCATCCTTAATGGAGAATTTGCTCCCAAATGCAGTGTAGAAATCCGTATACAATTTCGCCAGGTTCCAGGGAACATATATCGCGAGCACATTGGGTATAATAGTGCATCCACAACTAACGAGATTATTTTGCGTGATGTACCTGAAGAGGCCATTCTTGTCAGAGTTAATAACAAGGTTCCTGGATTGGGATTGCGATTGGACTCTCCAGAGCTCAATCTTCTTTACAAAGACAAGTGCGTCTGAATTTGAAATATTGTCCTTTGTTAGTTGCAGCATGGTTTTGATGTGGATATTGTTTTATTCTCTCTTATTCATTTTAGTTTTTCTCCCTTACGGTAGGTACAACGTGGATGTGCCCGATTCATATGAGCATCTTCTCCTTGATGTCATTGATGGGGATAGCCATCTGTTCATGAGAAGCGATGAACTCGCAGTTGCATGGAACATCCTAACTCCGATCCTAAATGAAATCAAGGAGAATAACATTAAGCCAGAACTCTACGAGTTCGGTGGCAGAGGTCCTATCGGAGCTTATTATCTGTGGGCCAAACACGGAGTTCGATGGGTCGAGGAGTAAGCAGAAGAACACATTTTATCTATGGCAAGCTCTCTCACTAAGAAACAGGCACACTAGATTTGCCAAATGGTTGAATCATTACATTCATCAACCATCTAGTTCATTTATCTGAAGCAGTTGGACATAAAATTTCAGCCTAGTAGTCTAAAACCACATGATGATGCAACTTCTGGTTGCGATTCTCAACTTAGTTCCTTGTAATGTTGCATAGGATTGATCTGCCATTGGTTCAAGACATGTGATGAAAGAATATGAGGATTGTATTGTACCATATAGAAAGAGTTTTTCCACCCAAGTTATTTTGAAAGGGAAGAAACGATTGTTAGGAGAAAGTCCTATATTAGCTAACTAAGGGGATAATAATGAGTTTATAAGTAAGGAATACATCTCCATTGCTACGAGGCCTTTTGGAAAAACCAAAAGTAAAACTACGAGAGTTTATGCTCAAAGTGGATAATATTATACCATTGTGAAGAGTTGTGGTTTCTAACATTGTATCAGAGTTATGTCCATGTCCTTAACTTAGATATGTCAATAGAATTCTCAAGGGTCGAACAAAGAAGTTGCTAGCCTTGAAAGTGTAGCCAAAAGTGACTCAAGTGTCGAACAAAGAGTGTACTTTGTTCGAGGGCTCTAGAGAAAGGAGTCGGCCTCGATTAAAGAGAGGCTATTCAAGGGCTAAATAGGTCTCAGGATAGGCTATATAGTATACCAAAAGTAAAGCGATTAGAGTTTATGTTCAAAGTGGATAATATCATACCATTGTGGAACGTTGTAGTTCTTAATAGAAATTGTACCGCTCTGTATATGCTTGTATATTTGAATACAAAATCATTGTCATTGTTCGGTTGATATAAAACGGTAGCAGAAATGAAGAATACAAAGAGGAGAATATGGATTGAGGTAATAGATTCTTTGCACCAGATTTTTTGGTTTTATTCAATCAATTTCAATGACATGCTTCATCAGTGGCAGCCATAAACACTGAGTGTAGGATCCACGAAGACTTGAGATATTCCCCAGTCAACAAATCAAAAAACAAGCCGCCAAGAAATTAAGGGAAAAGAATGCTCATGGTCCACACACACATTATATCACTGCTCATTTTGGGGTCAAATCATCCTCTCTTTTTCATTTAAATCTTATTTTATTTTGGTGGTGTATGAACTTTCAACATGTCTATTCTATTTTAGTGCCTGGATTTTTTAGCAAAAAAAGAAAATTTGAAGCTTTAATCTTAGTTTGTTCTTGTTTTAGCTTTTAGATATGTTTATTTTAGTTTCGAGATTAAATTAATAAAAAAAAAATACTCATAACTTTTTTAATTTATCTTAAAAATATCTTTAAATTTTTAAAATAAAATTTCAAAAATACCCTCGAACTTTAAAAAAATTTCATACAGTATTCTATTTAAAAAAATACTCATAAAATTTTAAAAATAGCCTTTTAACACATTTTAGAAAAAATTACTGATCAAATTTAATATTTAAAATAGATCTTTTTGGAACTAAAATGAAAAAAAAAATGTAAAAGTAACTAAAATAAACATTTTAAAAATTAACAAATTATGATTTAAATGTTGAAAAAATAATTATTTTAATCCTTATTTATTTATTTTTCACAAATGGTAGGGTAGGTTTGAATATGTGTTATGCAATGAGTTGGATATGATGGCTCACAAGCAACCACTATCTATCCAAATAATTATATTTTAGTTATATGTAACGGTGCCGCATTGGTGGAAGAGGAGAACGTAATACGCTTTATAGAGTGTGGAAACTTTTTCCTAGCAAATACGTTCTAAAGCCTTGAAGGGAAGACTCAAAGAGGATAATATTTGCTAGTGGTGGGTTTGAGCCTTTATCGTTGGTATCAAAGCCAGACACCGGGCGATGTGTCAGTAAAGACGTTGGGCCCCAAAAGGTTGCGCGGGCATGTGCTCGTTAAGAGATCATCACCAAGAGGTTTGTGCTCAATATTTGTGTTGCTGCCTAGTACGTAGTTGTGTTTGCATTGAAGTCAGGTTGGTTCAACGTTACTACGTGTAATAGTTGGGTCATGAAAACACAACTACGTGCAATAGTAAAGACAACGACATATATTTTCATATTTAGCTTCTCGTCATTTAAGAGTTTTCTAATAGTTGTTGACGAAATTTTTTCTGATTATTTTGTTTAAATCATTGTATTTCCATTTTTGTTTAATGCGTGTTGGGAACAATTTTATGACATTATCTAAATTATTTATATTAGCATACTACCAAACAAAAAAACGAAAACGATTTATCGAATACATCAATTAATCAATTATAGACTTCTAAATTTCACAAATTTAGTTTAAACCCGGTTAGATACTCCAAATTTCGATTCTAAACTAATAATTTAATCTTATTTATGTTCGAGTTTAAGTTTACAATAGTTTCATATTCTCATTTCAAACGTTCGAGTTTGAATATCTAAATTTTGAGTGAAAATTTAAACATATGATATGTTATTTCACAATAATCTAGACAGAATCCCAATTCCATTTTTTCATCTCATTAAATTTCCACATTTTTCAATACCCATTCTACAACATTTCAATGTGAATCATCTCTTTCTCTCTCTTTGTTTTTCTCTCTCTCATCCATTTCTCATCCCTTGGGAGCAAAGCCATGGAAGGAAGAAGAAAGAGAAGAAAATTGCAGAACATTGAAGAAGATGATGATGATGATGATGAAGATGATGAGGAAAAAATGAAGCTGTTCTTCGCTCTAATTCAAAATACCAAAGCCATGAGAGACAAAATCAAATCAAAAGAATCAGCTGAAGAAGATAACCAAACAAAAGGGGTTTGGAATCCAAAATTTCAACCAGAAGATTTCATTGAAGATGGGTTTGATACCCACAAATCCAAATCCAAAGCCGCCATTGAATTAGGAGCTGCTTCATCTTCAGCTACAAAACAGAGCAACCAAAAGGAAGAACACCAAGAACAGCTAGAAGAACCAAAAAAGGGGCTCGATCTTAATCTCTCTCTTTGATTTTTGTTCTTGTTTGTGTCGAATTAACGCTGTTTTATAATGGGTTGCTTTTGGTTTTGCTTGATTCTATGTTCAAAGGTCTTATCTTTGCCATTTTTTTGTTTGTTTGTTTGTTTATTTCTGCGTTTAAGATTGCTCTGTTCTGGTGGGTTTTGTTTCCATTGAGCATTTGAATGAGCTTTCTTTCATTGTTCAGTTGATTTCTATAATTGGTAATTTATTGCCTCTTTTGGGTTTATGGTGGCTCGTTAATTTAGTAGAAGATTATGAGTTTACGAGAGAAAGATTGTTGAGAATTATTGAGAGTGAGTTCCACGTTGGTTAATTTAGTGGAGAGAAAGGACTCGAGTCTCAATTAAGGGGAGGCTATTCGAGAGCTCCTTAAGCCTCCGAGGAGGCGTATAATGTGCATTGGTAAATTGAGTGGAGGATCATGAGTTTAATTATTTAGACACTAATTTTTAGGGTAAATTATAGGTTTAGACTGTGATATTGAGAGGGGAATAAAATATTTTTTTGTAAGGGTGTGGAAATTTCTCATTAGTAGACGCGTTTTAAAAACGTGAGGTTGATGACGATATATAATTGGCTAAAGCGGACAATATCTGATAGGGCTTGAGTTGTTACCAATGGAATGAGAATAAGACATTGGGCATGTGACAGTGAGGACGCTAGTCTCCAAGGGATGGATTGTGAGATCTTATATCGGTTGGAGAGAGGAGCGAAATATTCATTGCAAGGGAGAGATTTTCCAAAGAGGGATGGATTGCGAGATCCCATATCAGTCAGAAACGGGGACTAAGCATTCCTTATAAAGGCATGAAAACCTCTCCCTAGTAGACGTGTTTTAAAACTATGAGACTAATGGCTAAACATAACGGGCTAAAACGGGCTAACGGTGGACTTGGTCTCTTACATAGACGAACGATCGATTTCATTCCTTATTAAAAAAAATCCATGAAAATGGAACAATGGCAAAGAAACAAGTTATGGTTTAATTGAACTCAATTGTTGCAAAAGAAATCAAAAGGTAATGGCGGAGTAGAATAAGCTCTAGAAAGTATTTTCGAAGCCACGATCTTATTAGCTTCTTCGGTGTAATGAATCCCGTCCCAACTGATGAACTTTGAATTTTCGTTACAAACTTCATATCCCGGTTGACCACACGTCACCCTAATGTCGTAATTGTATGGACGTCCCCCGGCGCCACAACATGCCATTAGAGGATCAGAAAAACCTAACAAAAACGGTTGTCCTTTGTGAGTTTTTATGAGAATCGATAATTGATAGAGTGTTTGTTTAGTAAATTTACAACGGGTTTTTTTGTACTAACCGTATAGTGAGGAGTTGGCAACCAGATCGTACTTGATAGTGTAAATATCAATGTATACAATACTTGCGTCTTTCAGTTCATATCTCAATTCCCGACATAAATGGCTTAATGCCTTGTTGAACAATGTCGCTAGGTTATTGTAGCTCGAAATGCATCCATATCGATCGAGATCTTTCATGTGAAACAATGAGAGTTTCTGAGGCAAACAACCTAACGGCCCCGTGTTGTGTATCCAAAACTTCCTTCCACCTTGACCATACAAACCCTAGAGAAAAACATCGAATTCAATAAAAGTGGAATCGAAAAACGAAACACAACCACTTATCACTATCACCTTTATAGCATTTTGAATTTCGGAAATGACCGATGGAATCTGTTTAACCACTTGGAAATAAGAAAGGTTCTTAGATAAAGAGTCGGCTATATCATTTTGACCAATGTCGATCATATACAACGCATTCCTAAAACCGTCATCATCGATCAAATTCTCGTAACCTAAAACAAGATCTCAATCTCAATAGACGGTATTCATAACATATAAAAAATGGAAAAAGTAACGACAATATTTGTAACGATAAGAGTTCAGAAGAATACCAGCATTGGTGTTAAGAAGTTCGAGCGTTCGGGACTTGAAATGAACAAATTGCATGAATTGAATGTTGAGCGAAAAAGGAACATACTTGGGGAGAGTGGACGATCCTACGATAGCAAAGTTTGCTCCATTTTTGAAATTTGATCTCGCTAACGAATCCATATAAGGGTTTAACATGTTCGTATTCAAGTTCTCACCTGTCAAATCAAAATGAAACAAGTTTCGGTCGGTCTCGATCTAGTTGTTCGAGTTGTTTTTTTCACTTAATTTATTTATTAAAATTTTCAAATTCAATTTCAATATATATTTAAAAAATTACGCTGGAGAGAACAAATTAATATTTATAATACTAAAAGAAAAAAAAAACAGTAAAAATTTCCTTAATATATAAAAACGCTAAATTTAAATCAAAGTTCAAAAAGAGAGGAAGGTAGGACCCAGCACAATAAACGCACCACGTGGACAGAGAGCACAGAGATTAGAATATCAGTAAAGCAGAGGATTCAAACTTCAGACAAACGTCAAACAGAACGGGATCCATATCCATCTCAAATTCCACAAAAACCCCTCAAATTCCCATAAATCACAAAAATGCCATTCCCAATTTCAGATCTAAAGGCGAACTGAACGGTCAGATCTAACGCCACGTAATAATTAAAAAAAGGAGGAAAGTATAGTGGGGCCTACTTACAGAGAAAGTCGATGAGAAGGCGGCCATCGGAGAGGCGGCCGGTGGATCTACGGAAGAAGGTTCGGCCATTAGGGGAGAGAATGGGAAAGCCAAGTCCGGCGACTAAGCCACCGGTGTCGGAGTTGGAGTCGCCGAAGTTGAAGATGACCGGCGGACGGCGAGTGCACTGCGAAAAAACCAGAGAAGGAGGAAGAAGAAGAAGAAGGGTAAAGAGACCGACAATGGCGGCCATTGTCACTGGACAGTTCAAAGCTCGCAAAGTTGCTGTCTTTCTTCTCTCTCTTTGTCTGTGTGGGATTTATTTTGTTGGGTTTTGAGTATCGGATCCTTTATTTTGATTTTTTTTGGTTTTTGTCCTTATAAATTATAATGTAGACTGTCGGTGGGTCGCATTTTGTTTGTGTTCTTCGTTGTTATTTCGATGAGTTTAAGGAAAATCGTTAAAGTTTGTACTTAAATTATTGGATCTTGGTGGGTTTTTTAGAAAATAAGAAGAAAATATTGACTTCTCCTTTAGATTTTTGAATTTAAACTCAGATATATTGGGGGATTTCACAATCCACACCGGGCATAAGGTACATGATGAATCCGTGTATGTTGGATTTCACAATTTACCTCCTTTGGGGCCAACGTATTCTCTGTCATACTGCTCTGTGACTGACATTATGTAATGTCCAAGCATATCACTAGTAGATACGGTCTCCTTTAATTTGTTACCTATAGTCCTCAGCCTTATGGTTTTAAAATGTGTCTATTATGAACAGGTTTCCACACCCTAATAAAAGAATGTTTTGTTCTCGTCTTCATCTGATGTAGAGTTTCACAAATATATTTTGGTTACGAAGTAAAATAATGGATAATTACTAAGTATGCTGATAAATTTCCTTGAGGACTAGCATATTCGTTGGCACACTACTCAATAACTGTCTCTAATACTATTATATAACCGTCAAAGCCTACTACTAGCAGATATGGTTTGTTTTAGCTCGTTACGTATATTCGTCAGCCTCATAGTTTTAAAACATGTATATTAGGGAGAGGTTTTCATATCCTTATTAAAAAATGTTTCGTTTCAGTTCCAACAGACGTGAGATCTCACAAATATATTTTGGTTACAAAGAAAATTTAAAAAAAAAAACGGATAATTCCTAACTATACCAATAAATTTCCTTGATAGCGTGAGGTTAAGAAGTAGATGGCGTGTATAGATTGTATAAATGCAAAGAGAACTTATATGGAATCAAACCCAAGGAAAAGTATGAAACAAATTACCTTGATGATTAAGATCAAAAGTAAAGAAAACTCGTTTTTAAAATTCGCGATTCGAATCACTCTGCAATGCAAGTTATAAACACAAGAATTTGCAAAGAAAAAACAAAGCTAAGCTAAAATAGAATTTTTTTTTTTTTTTAATTACATAATGTGATATCAGAAAATAAGGTTTATTAATCATCATGCAAATATTTAAATTATAATTTCACAATAGGTACGAATGCGCCCGAGAAAGTCATCGAGGACGATGACAAAATCAAGTTTGAGAGAATGTCCCAATCTGCAATATGATTGTGACTCGAGTAAGTCATCGAGAACGATGACTAAGTTAAGTGGAGGAGAATGTCACAACCATAGTATGAAGAGAGTAGGTTGTGACCCTCACGCCATGACAAGTAAAGGGGCGTCCCTCAAGAGACGCCCCATCCGGCCATATGCGGGCCTACATAGAAGAATGTCATGATGCATCGACTAATTTTATAAATTCAAACTGAGTTCATCCAATGTAACTTAAAGTGCATTAAATACATCTATTTTATTTTAACTTAACTTTGCACAACATATAAAGAAGGTCTCTAACGTCTTCTACTCGAATTTTCTTTAATGAGCTTACTATAGCTTGAATATAAGTGTACAAGGTTTGTTGTAGATTTTTAGCTCTCGTCCTTGAAATTGGATCTTGAGGTATGGAAATTCCTTGGTGATGGTTCATATTATATTGAAAATTAGATTAATTTTTTTTTTTTTTTGGTAAAAAAATCCCAATATATTCTATGGTTTTAAAATAAGCCCATTCAACAAATTAATTTTCCATAGGCTAAAAGTTTAAGGATTTATAACATACAAAATTAAAAAATTTAGAGATTTATTAGACATTTTTTAAGGTTAAAAAGTCAAATAAAAATATATTTAAAAATTAGAGACTAAATTTATAATTTAACCAATAGGGTTGACTATTCACTGTCACAATAGAAAAAAATTCAAACCGTTGCTGCTAAACCATGCACAAATTTCAATGATCCATACTCCATTTTAGTCGATAGTTTCACCAACTTCTTCGATCTCCCTCTCTAATACTTCTCCTCAATCAACTTTGGACTCAAAATTCAATATCGAGAGTAAAAGCTATTCAAAGTTTCTTATTGTCGATGTGCGTTATACATATATATACACGTGAAACCACTAGAATATCATTGGAGACATTATTGGAGGAGGGAATCGAATTTTGAAAAAAAAAAATAGTGGACAAAGAAAAAAACAAACCGAGTTGAGTCAAGTCGAACCCAACCCCTGTCCATAAATCAACAACTACACGAGGCCAAGTCCAATTCCGACCCAATCACATTTAATGTGCATTCATGCCCAAAAGGTTGCTTCAACAGATCCACAACTTAACCCAACGCTTCCATCAACCAACCCAAATAGATTTTTTTTTTTTTTTTTGCATTTAAGTTATAAACTCGAGGTTGGAGTAGAACATGGATTTATTCGCACGAATTATTTGGTAAATTTTCAAAATTAGAGAACTATTTAACTGAAGCTAAACACTAGAAAGCTAAAACAACTGAACTCGTTAGATCCAAACGCTACCTAAACATTTAGAAGTAGAAGTTATCCCAAGAAACATAATTACATCCTTAAAAGAAATCCTTATTTTCCCCAAAAAATCAAAGGTTTGCCAACTTCCCATAAAAGAGTTGATATTATATTATTTCCAATACAAAACAAACATATATTTATACATGGGTATGCACCACTTGTCACTAAACCCAAGCTTTGGAAACTAAAGCCATGCAAAGTCCCAAATGAGCTGTAAGCAACTCAAGGAGGAGAAGAAGAGGAAGAAGAAAGGGTTTTGATGTCATGGAAGAGTGTTTTTTTGCTTCAAGTTCTTTCATTTTGCTCCAAAACGGCCCCTAAAAAACAACTTTGTACCCTAAGTGGCAACTTTCTCTTCCATGCAAATGCCCAAATGGTGCAATGATATCCTCCTATGCGTCTTTCTTTCCCTTAATCTTTCCCCAAAATTCTTCCTTGCTTTCTCTAATTCCACCTCCAAAAATTATTCAAAACCGTGTCATCGTCCTATCCTGTTCGGTCTATATAAAAAAAATTACTCAATATCATCGCTAGAACGAATTAGAGTGTGAGATCTCACATCAGTGGAAGAGAAGATCGAAGCGTTCTTTATAACGGTGTGGAAACCTCTCACACATTTTAAAAATCTTAAGGGGAAGTTCGAAAAGGAAAGTCTAAAGAGAACAATATCTGGTAACAGTGGGCTTGAGTTGTTACAAATGATATTCGAGAGACAGATACAGACGATGTGCTAGGAAGGATGTTGGGCCTTGTAGGGGTGGATTGGGGATCCCACATTAATTAGAGAAGGAAAAGAGTGTCAGCGAGGACATTAAGCCTGAAGGGGAGTGGATTATGAGATTTCCCCATTAGTTAAGGAGAACAAAACATTTTTTATAAAAGTGTGAAAACTTCTCCCTAACATACTCATTTTAAAAACCTTGAGGGGAAGCCCAAAGAGGACAATATCAGTTAGCAATGAACTTCCGCTATTATAAATGGTATCAGAGCCAGACACGGGCATTGTATCAACAAGGATGTTGGGTTCCAAAAGGAGTGGATTGTGAGATTTCACGTCGATTGAAGAGAGAAATGAATTACAAATAGATATATGTACGTTGGTTTATCTAGTAAGTTGAACATTGTTATTAAGTGAAATTATCACAATAATATAACTACTCGTGTTTCATACAATATCTTAATTAATTGAACTATGATCAAGTTGACAAGACACCCAACCTTCGTGCCCAACTCTTGTGACTGTATGTATCTATATATATATATACACAGTTCTTCTCATATCTCTCTCTCATGGATGGATTCATTCTATGAATAAACCTCTGCATCTCTCTCTCACAGAAAGAAGAAGAATCATGGAGGGAGATATCACAGCAATCATGGGGATGGTTATATTGCAATTTTGCTACGCTGGTTTAAGCATTACCTCAAAGCTAGCGATGCAATCAGGAATGAGCCCTCTTGTTCTCCTCACTTACAGGCAATTTTTTGGCACTTTGGCCATTGCTCCCTTTGCTTTCTTTACTGAAAGGTACTCAAAATGAATGAATCTTTGTTATGGGTATCAATTTCTGGGTTTGAAAAGATGATCAAGAACAATGAATGGATCTTTCTTGGTTCTTGTTCTTTATTTTGTTTCTGTTTCTTTGGCAGGAAAACAAGGCCAAAGATCACTTTCCCTGTTCTTGTTCAAATCTTTATCTGTTCTTTATCTGGGTTAGTCAAATGGGTTGTTGTCAAGTTTTTAAATTTTGGAACTTTTTTAGAATTGAAAGGCATTCTATGAATGTTTTGTGCAGAGCCACAGCGAACCAGATATTCTTCTTTGTTGGGTTGAAATGCACAAACCCAACCGTTTCAAGTGCTATGGCTAATGTTCTTCCTGCTGCTACTTTTATTCTTGCTGTTGTTTTCAGGTTAGGTTTTCAAGCAGCCATGAGTATTTTTCTAGTAGATATTGTCTGCTTTAGCCTCTTATTTATCGATGTTAGCCTCATAGTTTTAAAATGTGTCTACTAGGGAGAGGTATTATGAGATCCAATATTGGTTGGAGAGAGGAACAAAACATTTTTTTTTAGAAAGGTGTGACTTCTATCTAGTAGATATGGTTTAAAATTGTGAGGCCGACTGGTATATGTAAGGGGCTAAAGTGGACAATATTTGCTAGTGGTGGGTTTGAGGTGTTAGAAATGGTTTAAGAGCTAGACATTTGGTGGTGTGCCAGCGAGGATGTTAGGCTCTCAAGGGGTAGAGAGAGGAACGAAACATTCCTTGTAAACATGTGGAAACTTTTCTTTAGTAGATGCATTTTAAAATTGTGACGCGATACATAACGGGCCAAAACGAACAATATTTGCTAGCAGTGGGCTTGAATTGTTACAAATGGTATCAGAGCCAGATATTGGGCGGTGTGCGAGTGAGGACGTTGGGCCCTCAAGGGGGCTAGATTGTGAGATCCTACATCAGTTAGAGAGGGAGATAAAACATTTCTTCTAAACATGTGGAAACCTCTCCTTAGTATATGCGTTTTAAAATCGTGAGGCTGACGACGATACGTAACGGGCCAAAATGGACAATATCTGCTAGTAGTGGGCTTTAGCTGTTACAAATGGTATCGGAGTCAGATATCGAGCGGTGTGCCATGAGGACGTTGGGCCTTCAAGGGGGTGGATTGTGAGATTCCACATCGGTTGGAGAGGGGAACGAAACATTCCTTATAAGCGTGTAGAAACCTCTCTCTAGCAGATACGTCTTAAAACCGTGAGGCTAACGACAATATGTAACGGACCAAAACGGATAATATCTACTAACGGTAGATTCAGCCTGCTACATCTATCGAAAGGCCACGAGTGTTCTTCTAGGTTTTTAAGTTTACTTATAAATATATTTAAATTTGTTTACGTTAATCTATCCGCTTAAGCTTTTGATTTAGCAGTAGCGTTAAGAGTAAACTTAAGGGCATGCAATTGGCAGACAAGAGAGTGTGAGAATCAAGACCAAGCCAGGTTTTGCAAAGGTGATGGGAACAATTGTGTGTATATGTGGAGCAATGCTGCTATCTTTCTACCATGGACACACCATTGGCTTAGGTGAATCAAAAATTCACTGGCCTTATGTCGAGAGGATCATGAGCAAAACAAACCCGACGAACCGTCAAGAAAACCGAACCCTCGGCTCGGTTTTGTTGCTTTGCAGCTCGTTCTCTTGGGCGTTATGGTTCGTCATTCAAGTAAGTAGCCATAACCCCTAATTTGCTATATTTTTCAAGCCAAAGACAGCTGAAACTATTTTTTGCAGGCAAGATTGAGTGTCAAGTTTAAAGCTCCCTATACAAGTACAACGTTGTTGTGCTTCATGGCCTTTTTCCAATGTGGACTCATAGCTGTAATTTCCGAGCACAATGTCGCTGCTTGGTCATTAAACAGTCCGATCCGACTCATCTCAGCCCTTTACACGGTATGTAACGTACTTAATAATCGCTCGATGCACGGTGTCGATATGTCTGTATGAAACTAATGGAAGTTTTCACAGGGAATTGTGTGTTCTGGATTGACATTTAGCATCACTTCTTGGATTATACAAAGGAAAGGGCCTCTATATGTCTCAATTTTCACCCCATTGTTGCTTATCATTGTGGCCATCTTTAGCTGGACTCTCCTCCACGAACAGCTCTACATCGGAACGTGCGTATCCATGTCACTCTCGTATATTCAAACTTCTGACACGCTTTCTATTTCGTATAGAACTGTTTATACATAAACATAATCATACTCCACACACTCATATATTCGAATTTATGAGATCTTTTCTGTTTCGTATAGAACTGTTTACTTATTGGGTTTTGTGCGTTCGTGATGGTCCGTTTTTAACAGTGTTCTTGGCTCTATTTTGATAATCATTGGGCTATATGGAGTGCTATGGGGAAAGTCCAAAGAGATGAAAGTAGAAGAGGAAGACAAGGTGGAAAAGGCAACAAATGGGAGTCAAAAAGATGACGTGGAATTGCAAATCATAAACATCAAATAAAGGGAAAGAAAATGAAATGATTTGGAAGATTTTAATTTTTTTTTTTTTTTTTTGAATTTTAAGTTTGTGTATAAGTTTCTCTTTTGCAAATTTAATTCTTATATTCAATACGTTCTCGAAGAATTTATATAGAATTTACGAATATGATAGAGCGTAGTCGAGTGAATAAGATGTTAATTATCATTCTGAAATCGATTGCTTGATTTCTTAAATGGGTTAGACTCGAAAACTACACGTTGTTGATCGATTTGGATGCATTGGTATCTGAGCATTATTTCAGACAAAAAATGGTCATTCGAGGAGCATACATGCTTTCATTATTGGTATAAAATGTGCATTTGTAATCGCTCATCTCCACGGTTGGTAGATGTTGCCTGTTTTGGCTCATTACGTATCACCGTTAGCTTCACAATTTTAAAACGTGTCTGTTTGAGAAAAGTATCCGCACCCTTCTAAAGAATGCTTTGTTCTCCTCTTCAATCAATGGGGCCCAATGTTCTCGCTGACACACCTACCTTTGTATTGTGAAATTCAACATCAGTTGGAAAGGGAAATGAAACAAAGTTGGATTGGATTGATTTGATGTTTGTTTGAGTGCATTTAATTTTTTTTTTTTTTTTTTTGAAGCCCTAGTTTTTCGAGAAAATATTTTTCAAATTACTTATAAAACAGTGATTTATAAATTAAACCCTATGATCTCACCTTGCTTCCTCAGCATAATCCTTAGCGCCGCAACTCTTCTCATCTGTAATGGCCAATTTCCGGTCACCACGGTTTCTTTGATTCCTTCTTTGATTTGAATTCCTATTTTATGCATTGTTTAATCCAACAAGCTTCGTTTTGGGTATGATCATTGTGTTAATCATTACCATATGCTTGGTGGGGTTGCCCCGATTATTGTCCATTCCACGATTTCTAGCTAGATCTAAAACACGTTTTCGATTAACATCTCTGTTTGTTTGATTGAATCGTTGAATTTTGTTCGTTCATTTTGCTTACGACTTGTGATAGTTATCATTTCCGATTTTTGTTGTTTTTATTCGGATCTTCTGTGTGAACTCTGAATGTTTCTATCATTTGTTCATTACATTGATAATAGATTGTGCTTGGTTTGTGATGCTCCTTTCTTTCAAATGTCAATTACTTTTTCATTTGTAAAATTTCACTTTACTTGAAAATTTGGGCTTAGCTTTGCTGGTCTCCTTTACTTGGTGGCGGAGAAGTTGTTTTCTTCTATAGTTTGATAAGCTATAATGAGAGGATTCCATGATTATCAATACACTTGTTTCAATTGCAATGGTGTGTGTATATGCATGTATTTTCTGTAATTGGGTGCTGGGTCACATTGGGTATTTTTGAGGAGGCTTCACCCAACCCGAAGAGACCATAACTGTTCCATGTTGGTTGGGGAGGAGAACGAAACATTTTTTTAAGGTTGTGGAAACCTCGTCTTAGCAGACACGTTTTAAAAGAGAGGAAAAAAGAGATGAAACCCGAAAGGGAAAACTCAAAGAAACAATATCTACTAGAGGTGGGTTTAGGTTGTTCCAAAATGGTATTAGAGCCAACACTGGGCGGTGTGTCAGTGAGGATGTTGGGCCCTAAAGGGGGTGGACACTGGGCAGTGGTATTAGAGCCAAAAATCGGGCGGTGTGTCAGCGAGGATGCTGGGCCCCGAAGGGGGGTTGGTTGTGAGATCCCATAGGGCGGTGGTATTAGAGCCAAACACCGGGCGGTGTGTCAGCAAGGACGCTAGGCCCAAGGGGGAGTTGATTGTAAGATCTCATAGGGCGATGGTATTAGAGCCAAACAATGGGTTGTGTGCTAGTGAGAATTGTGGTCCTTGAAAGGGGTAGACACCAGGCGGTGTGTTAGCGAGGACGCTTGGCCCCGAAAGGGGGTTGATTGTGAGATCCCATAGGACGGTGGTAATAGAGCCAACACTAGGCTGTGTGCTAGTGAGGATTGTGGGTCTTGAAGGGGGTGGACACCAGGCGGTGTCTCAGCGAGGATACTAGGCTCCAAAGGGGGTTGATTGTGAGATCCTATATTGATTGGAGAGGGAAATGAGTGCGGGGTGATTGTGAAATCCCACATCAGTTGAGGAGAAGAATGAAATATTCTTTATAAGAGTGTGGAAACCTCTCCATAGTTGACTACGTTTTAAAAACCTTGAAAGGAAACCCAACCCGAAAGGAAAAACTCAAAGAGGACAATATTTTCAACCGATGGCTTGGTCTGTTACAATAAAAGTTATCAAGTTCTTAATCTTATGTTTGAACCAGTTTCAAATTTCTTGTTAAAAGATGCATCTTTTGGAGACTTGTAATGGTTTTTAAATGACCTTTGCTATTTATGCTATTGTTATTGGGGTGCTTATGGACGGTCTTGTTCTGATTACTTTACCATCGTCAGCACACAACATGAACATAAGCTACATTCTTGCCGTCCTGTCTTTCAAGCTTTCCTTCAGTTTTTTGAGGAAAAGCTATCCATGTTATGGCAGATTTCTGAATCAAAACATTGCTAATTTTTAATTATCTGGCTCTTGGAATGTGCTTATGGACGGTCTTGTGCCGATTAATTTACTGCTATCGGTACATAACAAAAGCCTAAGCTACACTCTCGCCATTGTGTCTTTCAAGTTCCCCTCTATCAAGTGAGGTGAAACTATCTGATATGGCATATATCTTTCATCACACATCACAAGCCTATTGATAATTTTGTGGTTGTCAGTCGCATATTGCATATCATTTTACCATGATCATCACACAACAGAAACATAAGCTATGTCTTCTAAGGTTTTTCATGATATGGCAGATATCAGAATCACATAACTCTTGCTTGTTTCAATTTATGATCAACTGGTTCTGTTCATAACAGACCCATTAGTATTCATTGCCTGTATTAGACTCTTCCATCTTGTTGTTTGTGAGATGGGAACGATTGCAACAAAGACGTTGGGACTCGAAGGGGTGTGGATTGTGAAATTCCACATCGATTAGATTGGAACAAGTGCTAGCGAGGATGCTGAGTCCTAAAGGGGGTGGATTGTGAGATCCCACGTTAGTTGGAGAGGGAAATGAAACATTTTTTATAAAGGTGTGGAAACCTCGCCCTAGTAGACGTGTTTCAAAAATCTTGAAGGAAAACCCGAAAGGAAACATTCGAATAGAACAATATGTGTTAAGGGAAAACTCAAAGAGAACAATGTTTGCTAGTGGTGAGCTTGAGCAGTTACATTCTTCTAAGTTATTAGTAGCTATGCAGTTGTTACTGCAATACAACCGGTAAGGTAAGGTTTTAATGGTTACTAGCTTGTTTGAAATCGACGTGCTTATGGACGGTCTTGTGCTGATTTGATTATTAAGCCATCAGCACATAACAAAAACCTAAGCTATATGGTTGCTGCTCTGTATCTTAGTTTTTCCTAGAGTTTATATTTGGGGAAGCTTTCTACACTGTGGCTTACATGTACACTCCCTCACAAACAAGCTGCATAAATGAATGTAGTTTTTGGCTAGATCACTGATGAGATCGGTCTTTATCCTTCACGTATTGTGCTAGTTCTGAGATAAAGACTGCTGTTGTCTATCAGGGGGATGGGGTGTTTACCTTTGCATGCTTTTTGTTACATCACTAATAGATAAACGACCTGGGCAAGGCTAGAAAGAGTTTCTTTTTCAATTTGTGAAGAGATTGATGAGCGGACTAAAGCGTTGGATTGCTATCTATCCTTCCGTTTACCTTCGTACGTTTATTGCCTCACAACTTCGTCATGGTTATGGATAGTTATGGATAAATCCCTCAGGTTTGGGTATAAACAATGGAAATTACTCCATAAAGACTCTTTCTTCATCATGGTTATGGATAAATCCCTCAGATTCGGGTATTAATAGTGGAAATTACTGCATAAAGGCTCTTTTTATTTTATTTTCCAGTGGATTACTTTTTTTTTTTCGGGGAAGGGAATGAGGTTGTTTGGTTGGGGAAATCTTTTGGATCAACTTGATTTTGGCTTCATGCAGGCGAGTTGCAACCTACAATCCGAACTGAGGCGGGTTTTTGGAATTAGCTCACCCTCACGTGATCACGACCCTTTGTCCCGGCCATTATAGCACGTCTGTCGCCTAGGACATAAGGGGCATGATGACTTGACGTCATCCTTACCTTCCTTCGACTTATCACCAGTAGTCTACTTAGGGTTCCAACCTCAACAGTTGGCAACGAAATTTTGGGTAGGTTATTGAGTGGGGGTGTCTTATTCTTTCTCTTTTTTAATTATTTAAAAGAAATTACTTATTCACATGTTAAGTTAATAACTAAATTCTCGTGACGTTCAAATATCAAATATTCATAAGTGAAGCTATATCATATTAAAATTGTCACAAATGTCAAATATTCTCAATCTTTGTAATAATCTTAAAAGTAAGATGTGCAAAAGAAAACTCAGACGATGTTGCAAATTTAGTTCCCAACCATTGAACTGGGGCATTCCCCACAACAATGTCGAGAACGCAAAAGCAAACTCGACGGTGTCGCAATCCATTGAACTAAGCATTCCCCACAACAATGCTGAGAAATATTTTTTGCATGCATGTGAAAAAACCACACCCGTAGAGCAGCTTTTCAGAACTGCCCTAGAATGCAAAATAAAACGCTTTTCAGAACTGCCCTAGAATGCAAAATAAAACCGCTTTTCAGAACTGCCCTAGAATGCAAAATAAAACGCACAATCGATCGAATTAGGGTAGAACAACAATCAAATTAGGACATTTTGGGTTGTGACTCTGATTGGGTTAACTTAACTAAAAAAAAATGTTAGGTTGCAACTCTGATCAGGTTAACTTAACTATTAACTACTAATATTTTTTTTTAATTTTTAATTGAAAAATAAAATTAATTTTTGATAAAAAAAAAAAAAAAATCTTAATTCTTTGTTAGTAATTAGCAAAAAAAAAAAAAAACAAAAAAGAAAAAAACCACTCAAATTTAACCCAAAAAAATTAATTTAAAGAAATCTTAAATAAATGAGAAATTATGTATTATCAAAATTTTAAAAGGTTGATTTATAAAAATTAGTTTAATTATTAATTTAATGTTTTAAATAGGCCTCTCTTCCATCCAATTTCGAGAGCTCCCGAAACTCCCCCACTGGCTTATGATCGGCGATCATTGAAACTGGATTCTGCGCCTTTGAATCTACACTGACAGTCGCTTTCATTCCATTTCTTTCATAGGACTTCAGAAATTTCATCCCGGAAAGATCTGAAGAGGATGGCAGCAATTTACAGCCTCTACATCATCAACAAATCTGGTGGCTTGATCTTCTACAAGGTAATCAACCAATGGAAACTACTTATTAATGCAATTAGAAACTAGATTCTGCTAGTTCCCATCTGGATTGGGAGTTTTGATGCTTAATTTGGTATCTGAAACGAAAAACAAATATGAACCCCAAATCATGATCCCAGTTTGTTCATCAGATTTTCAATCGACCTTTCTTTTACTTATGAATTATAAACTGGTTACGGGTGGAATTCTTTTAATCTTCGGATTGAATCTCTTATTGGCTTGTTTGAAAATTTAGGATTATGGATCTGCTGGACGAATGGACACAAACGATAGCTTGAGAGTGGCGAGTTTATGGCATTCGATGCATGCCATTTCCCAGCAGCTTTCGCCTATTTCCGGTTGTTCGGGTACTGAACTCCTTGAAGCCGACACATTCGACCTCCATTGCTTCCAGTCACTTACTGGTACATTTTTTCTTCCACTACTTTGTTTAATTTGTGCTTTAAACGCATGGATTCTGTCTCAAACTATGTTCCAAAGACACGCAATCAAATTCCTAATGTGAAAGCACAATTGAAGTTCTAGGAACCTTATTGATCTTTTGTGAGATCTTATATCGGTTGGAGAGAGAGGAACGAAACACTCCTTATAAGGGTGTGGAAACCTCCCCCTAGTAGACACATTTAAAACCTTTAGGGGAAGCCTGAAAAGGAAAATCTAAAGAGAACAATATCTGCTAGCTGTGACTTGGACTATTATGAATGATATCAGAGCCATACACCGAGTAATGAGCTAGCAAGGACGCTGGCCCCCAAGAAGGTGGATTGTGAGATCCTACATCGGTTAGAGAGGGGAACAAATCATTCCTTATAAGGGTGTGGAAACCTCTCTCTACCAGACATGTTTTATTAAAACCTTAAGGGGAAGCCCGAAAGGGAAAGTCTAAAGAAAACAATATCTACTAGCAGAAGGCTTGAGCAGCGAGGACGTTTTCCCCTATAAGGGGGGTGGATTGTGAGATCTTACATAAGTTGAAGAGGGGAACGAAACATTTCTTATAAAGATGTGGAAACCTCTCCCTAGTAGATGCGTTTTAAAACCTTGAGGGGAAGCTCGAAAGGGAAAACTAAAAAAGGACAATATCTGCTAGTAGTGGGCTTGGGCTGTTACATCTTTCTAGTTGAGATTATAATGCCTTAACTTTCATGATATATTCATTTTCTAGTTCTTAGTTATGAAGCTGAATCATGGATGAACTTGGCTGTTATAGGAACAAAGTTTTTTGTTGTGTGTGAGCCTGGAACACTGCACATGGAGGGTCTTCTGAAGTACATTTATGAGTTATACACAGATTATGTCTTGAAGAATCCATTCTATGAGATGGAGATGCCTATTCGATGTGAGCTCTTTGATATCAACCTAGTGCAGGCAGTGCAAAAGGATCGTGTTGCTTTGCTTGGTCGATGAGCTTTCGATATCCTTCATTTTGCCAGTATTAACCATCCACAATTCAAGAAAGAAGGCTCATGATATTGTTGTCCAAATACTTGATAATTTGCCTGCTAAATGTACTCCATGAATAGTGACTCGTTTGATATTTGGTGGAAATAGAATGGTCCTTTTCTGAGTTCACTGGATAATCATGGTTAATTTTATATCCAATTTTCTGAATGATTAACGTTTGATCAGTTTAGATAAAAGAATGCATCCATTTCATGATTTTCATCACTGAATGCATCTGTAGTTGGGACATGTTTTCATCTGCCTGATCTGACTGCAACCAATTGTGCAGGCTTGAAGTTGCACTATGAACTGATAGGTATTGGAAGCATTTCTCAGAACTTGGTCATTTGCTATCAAGGTCAGGCCAATATCATCTGCTAAATTTTCCAAGTTTATCTCTTTTCTTTTTCTAGAGATTACATATGTTGAAGAATCGACTACAAAGTTATTTTGTAACAGCCAACTGCTAGTAGATATTGTCCCGTATTCTTTTCTGGGGCCCTGCATTCTCGTTGACACTCGTTCTCCTCTTCAATCGATGTAGGATCTCACAATCCACCTCCCTTTGGGGCCCAACATTCTCGCTGAAACTCGTTCCCCTCTTCAATCAATGTAGGATCTCACACTCCACCTCCCTTTGGGGCCCAGCGTCCTCGCTGGCACTCATTCCCCTCTCCAATCGATGTGGGATATCAAATCCACTCCCCTTCGGGGCCCAACGTCCTTGCGGGCACTCGTTCCTCTATCCAATCAACATGGGATCTCAAATCCACCTCCCTTCAGGATCAGCGTTCTCGCTGACACTCGTTCCCCTCTCCAATCGACATGGGACTCACAATCCACCTCCTTTGTGCCCCGCGTCCTCGTTGACACTCGGTCCTCTCTCCAATCGATGTGGGATCTCACAATTCACCCCTCCTTCAGGGCCCAATGTCCATCCACCTCCGTTGGGGCCCAGCGTTCTCGTTGGCACTCGTTCCTCTCTCCAATCGACGTGGGATCTCACAATCCACCTCCTTTGGGGCCAGCGTCCTCGTTGGCACTTGTTCCTCTTTCCAATCGATGTGAGATCTCACAATTCACCCCTCTTCATGGCCCAATGTCCATCCCCCTTTGGGGCTCAGCGTCCTCGCTGGCATATCGCCTGGTGTCTGACTCTAATACCATTTGTAACAGTCCAAGACCACTACTAGCCGATATTGTCCTCTTTGACATTCCTTTAAAGGGGAGCTAGGAGATATTGCCTTCTTTGGTTTCTGGCTTCTCTAAAAGGGGACTTAGCAGATATTGTCACATCTTTGGGCTTTTCCTTTCGGGCTTTTCATAAGAGTTTTAAAACGCGTTTGCTAGGGATAGGTTTCCACGCTTTTATCAAGAATGTTTTGTTCCCTTCTCCAACCTAGTGGGATCTCACATGTTTAAACTTTGTTCATCAAGCAAACTCAAAACAAAATAATAAAAACAAGAAGGGACAGAGCAAACAAAACTATCGCGATTATTTTTATTCCATTAGGAATCAGATATGATTCTTTTTCTGACATACTTGAATACAAAAGAGATTATCAGCTCTCGCTTATATCAAAGATTTACTGAATGAGGGCATTAGCAGTAGCATAGTGATTTACACTCATTGAAATATCACAGCTTAGGATCATACGTTTGTTCATGACCTCAATATCCAATGAGTTGATTCTGATGGCTTGACTACACCTTTGAACAAGTTTCTTTGATGTTACCAATGGATGATTATCTCTGAAAATCTTCTTCCGTGAGAACTTGAAGGCTTTCTGGATATGTGCTTGAATTTCATGGTAATACTTCACACAATGCTTGAAACTCTTCTTCAGCTTAGGATCACTCTCATTCTTACTTAATTTGGAGAAGAAATCAAGGTTTTGATCGGCTTGGTTCATCGTCAGATTGATGGATATAAGCGAGAGCTTAGGGAGGTCAGCCGAGATGGTACCGGGAACGTTACCAAGGATTCTCTGGCAACTGAACGGATCGGGGGTTTTATAGCAAATGGTGGCCAGATTTCCATGGAGGATTCCATGAGAAGGGAAAATGGCTAGGTAAAAAACTGCGAGAAGAAGAACAGGGATGCCATGAGAGCAACCCATTGCAGGTTTCTCAGAAGAAGATCAGACCATTTGGGTCTTTGGAAGCTAACAAGCTGTTTAAGTAATGAGCTTGGAAGAAAAAGTAAGGTCAAAAGTAACTCTTTTCTGCAAGAACATTACAAGGAAAAAGTGTTTTTTTCTTAGAAAAACAGCCTCATTTACATGCATGTAAAATTGGCTTGTATTTTCAAATTTAGAAGGTTGTTTTAAAAAGTAGCCAGTCATCTCATTCATTTTAGCTATCAAAAATTAAGACCTGTGACAACAGCTAAATCACAACTCAGCCATCGGTTGACTGAAAGAGAATCATCGTTGGTAAGTCAAAAGAAAGTCGAACAAGATCCTAAAACTAGGCAAACAATATATTTTTTTT